TCAGCATATTACATGTAAGAAGTACAGAAGTCGTCTATGAAATGATTTTTTTCTAAAATGTTATCTAATTTCACTATTAAAAATTGGATAGATGAAAATTCAAGGCTATGACAAATATAATAGGCCAATCATAATAATTCAATTGAATGATTGCACGGTTTTGTTCCTCTGTTGCTACTTCCTTTAGATGATACTCATCATATTATATTTACATCATAAAACTGTGGTGTAATATGTAGTATTGCAGTAGTGTTCTATCCACATACAAGGTCTATGTCAAGACTACTTCAGACAAGCATTATAACAATGGGAAAATACCTTGAATGATTGATCTCATGTGTTTCAGTTTTAGTTTATAAATAACGTAAAAGTACCTCTGATTATTAACAGATTTTTTCACTACTAACCCGAGAAATAACCATTACTGATCACAATGCCATATTGAGAAGTAGCATCCATCTCCCTATAAGAAGAATTAAAAAGAAACACCACCAGGTACTTTTAAGTACCTACATATTTGTAAAATTATTTTTTTGCATAGGGCCATGCAGCCAGTCACTATGCATATAAATAGGCAGGGATTTTATCATGTCATGACAAGGTTTATGTATGTGTGGAATCCAAGACAGAAATTCATCTAAATGTATTCCTAACACATTATTTTGCTGACTTATTTGGATATTACTATCAGAAAGTGTAACATTTTGTGGTACATCAATCTGTGACTGCTTCAATATAAATATTATTAAATAAGTTTTGTCCTTATTTAGTACAAGTTTATTCATTGCAAACCATTTCCTCACTGATTCAAGTACCTGCTAACCAACCGCTTTCATTAAATGTTTATTTTTTAAAAACAAGCTGTTATTACAAAGTAGAGAAAGAAACATCATAGAAAGACCATATTTTACTTATAAGTTATAATTTGCAATCAGCTATAATTACAATAATTATTGTTATATAATTGCAACTTGTATCTGACAATTATAGCTGATTGCAAATTGTAACTGACAATTACACAGACCCACAAAAAACTAAATGCCGAGATTCGTGAGACATGGCATGATATTCCAAAGTATTTTTGGACGTTGAATCCGAATGCCGGATCAAAAAATTTCCTAGACGTCTAGAATTCACCCCGGGCCCAAAAACTACCCCTAGAAGAGATGAAAATTGAGTTTCGGACGCGAAATGCTGAAGCATGGTATTCCCATATATTTTTCGACGATGAAACCAAATTTGTGGTCAATCAAATTTTCGCATTCCTGGAACTAGCCCCCAGGACCAAAATCTACCCCTTAAAAGTGGTGAAGATTTAATTTTCGGTTGCCAGATGCTCAACCATGGTATTACTATGTATTCTTCAACGCTGAATCCGAATTTGAGGTCCATGAAATTTTCCCGTGAGATCAAAAAATATCTCTAAAATGGCGTCAAGTATGTTGACCCTGTACCTTCCACGCAACGCCTTATCACTACAGAAAGGAATATGTTCAGCACAAACTAGACCCTATTAGAAATACGTGCGATTCCATACCAGAACACTCATCACGGTAGGCGAACGTCGCCAGCAGCAGCAGCAGCAGCCGCGGCCGATAGGTATGGTACGCGATCCGTCTCCGAAAATATTTTTACAGGGGAATCTAAGACGTTTGAAATATGTCTAATAGGAGTGTATAAATGTACCAGCATAAAAAAATTGAGATAATGACTACCCACCCCCTTACAACCCCCACGCCCAATTTTTTCACCTCTAAATTTTTTTTTTAAAATAATCAGGATCCTCTGACATGTCAAAAAATGAAGTTTAAGCAATTTTTACTTTTTACGTTTCAGTCCTATTTCTCTGCTACCACTGGACCGATTTTCAAAAACTATAAAGCTTTTACGTCCTTGGCATAGTAACAACATTGTGTGAAAAATTCGTCGAAATTCCAGCGGTACTTCTAAAGTTATAGGCAGTTATAAGATTAGCGGACAGACTGACAGACAGACCCTCAGACCCATCCAAAGAACATAATATCTTATTTTCAAAAATGTTCGCGATTACAATGCAATAGAAGTAAAAGTAGTTGAACATTGATTTTCTGAAACCAGATGCTTAACCACGGTAGACCTATGTATTCTTCAAAACTGAATTAGAATTTGATGTTGAAAAAATCAACCTCTGTTGAATTCACCCCGGCGACAAAGCTACCCGTGATGACGGTTGGAAATTGAGTTTCGAGTGGTGGATACTAAATCGCTGTATTGTTGGATGCATATTTCGGCAGTCAGATGCATTGTTTCCAGCTAAACCCTAGCACCTGTTGGTCCCAACAAGATTGGAGTTGGGCAATACATAAGTGGTATGCCTCCAAAGGAAAAATCGTTCAAAGTTACGTATGTAGGCTAGACTTATGGAGACACTACATATGGTGTGTACTGTAGGTCGAATTTGTCCCATAACATTACCTGTCTGATGCTTCGCTCTCTTTTTCTTCTAAAAAAAGAGCATTATTCAATCTTAATCAACAATACTGGATGAGCTGAAAGTTTTTGAAAACTGTATAGTGTAGATAGGACATTGTTCTCTGCATTAAAAACACTATCTCTGAGTTCCAGGGGTATACATTTTTTTACCCCAATTTGGATGCAGCTTCGAAAAATACATGGGAATTCCATGTTTCAGCATCCAAAACTCAATGTTCACCAATTCAGGGGTAGTTTTTCGGCCTGGAGTGAACTCCAGGGAGTGTAGGGATATTTTAGATCACAAATTAGGATTCAGCATGGAAAAATATATGGGAGTACCATACTACAGCATCTGGCATCTAAAACTCAATTTTTCACCTCTTCTATGGGTCGCTTTTAGTTTTTGGGCCTGGGCGTGAATTATAGACATCTAGGAACTTTTGTGATACTGGATTCGGATTCAGCGTCGAAAAACACATAGGAATATCATGGTCTGACTCACTGATCTTGACTTATATTTTGTTTGTGGAGTTGTGTTATAGCTAATTACAACTTGTAACAGGCAATTTTAAAAAATATATATTTTTTTACTTCCTACGCCAATGGGAGAGGAGTAACGTAAACGCGAAAAAATTTGAATGGTATTTGAATGTTACATGAAGAAGATGTACATATATAAAAATTATAGGGTCTGTTTGTACAAGTTTCTCAATATCATGTAAATATGCCCCAAAGAACACAACTTTTTTCTAATTCAACCTATTATGTATCTCCAACAGGTATTGAGATATCCCCATGCATGGGATGCTTATCTCACTCTGAATATGAGAAAAGTACTATCAAATGAAGTATTTGTTTAAATGGAACCTCTATAGATATTCAAGGAAAATAATAGTCCCTTTTTTATGATTCAACATATATGTTGTTCAACATACTTATTTTCATTAGTTTGTCCACAAACTTGAAGTTTGTTAAATCCGCAAAAAGAGGGAAAGTGGTTTCGAGCCGCATTTTGCTGATTTTGCCCATTATTTTTTTTATACTTGTTATATACCTTTCTCTGCATGATTCTAACTGAGAAAAAAGGAGACTATAATTTTTACTATATACAGGATATTCCATTGTAAAAAATACAACTTTATTCAGTAGCATTTTTCTGAGATATACAAAAAATAATATTAAATGATAAACTGCATATTAATCATGTAACTTTTATATACAACTTTTTATTCTAGGTCATAAAAAAAGTTAGAGTGGGTCAATTTATAGCCAGACACCTTGAAAGGAAGAGCTTTGTAGCTTCTGAAAATCGAATCTGTGGCAGCAGAACTAGGGGCAAAAACATGAAAAAAATACAAAATCTCAGAAACTTCATTTTTGAACATTCCAGAAGATTTTGGGATTGGGTGTTGTAGGTTGTGAGGCAATAAATATATATATATATATATATATATATATATATATATTTATAATGTTTTAGAGGTTGGTATATTTATATACTCCCAACCTCAGTACTTCTATGCACCTATTAGCCATATTTCACACATCATAAATTTCCCTGTACATTTGCCAATAAAACAGTCATAGAGATGTTTTCAATCCATATACTCCTGCTATCTAAGATCACCACTGGGCATACTAATCTGGCTGACTAATCTATGTGTACTGCAGTGCACAAAACATATACACAGAATGAACAATAACTATCTACAGTGGTATGTGCTCCCACACAGATGTTGGAAAGGAACAACACTGCCAGATGGATAAGGAATATCTATGGAATAATTGTATGGGCCTGTTTGACTGACTTGATCCGTTAAATTTCTCTGTTGTACATGACTGACTTTTTTCTCAGAGGATTTAAATTGTCCTGAGCTTAATCCTTTATGGACTGATGACCATGTTTCATAGGAAGTAAAGTAAACCTACTTATCATTTTTTTATTCACTGATGTTCTTTCCACGCTTTTGTGAGGTAAAGAATACCTCATTACATCCAATACATGTCTCCTTTATGAAAAGCACCCCTCTTACAGGCCTGGCAATACCCCTGACCTAGCAACACTCAATGTGAACTTGATTTAAACCATTGAATTTATTCAATTAGATAGTTTAAATACCTTTTATAGATATCAATGATAATATGACAATTATAATCTATAATTGATAAAGTGCAATGCTTGTTAACTGCCTAATAATCAAGTGTATTAGATAAAAACAATACGACACCTGCATGAGAACTGTTATTTAACATTAAAATTCTCAGCATGTAGCTCTACTGCTGAGTTATGTTTATAAAAGTAGTAGCAATATAGCGGGATCAACCCAAATGATTTAATTTAGTACTTTATAGCTTGGTAAATATAAACCTAACCTAAAATAATAGCTGATGTGGAAAACCTAGATCCTATTTCCATTTCTACGCCACAAAATTGGTATTTTCCAACCAGCAATTGACCTCACATATGAAACAAACATTCCAGCAAAGCCAGAACCTAAACGGTTTTACAATATAAACAAAAATACGATTTTCCAAAAAAATCTTACCTGGTAATACGAGTCAGCCATTTTAAATTCAAATTCTACATCACAATCCTCAATTCCAGGGCAATTTCCAGTTGAATCAGGCCTCGAACATTATTATTGATCTCCATACACTACTCTCTTCTAAATGATTCTTTGAGATATGTTATTCATCAATTGGAAAATGTATAAAACTGTACAATAAGTATTTATTTAACAAAGGCTGAATTATTTTTAGTTCACTTGAGATGTCACGTTACCTTAAGCGCTTGCGCAGTGCGCAATGAACGGTAAACGACACCTGTCAAATGAACGGCACCGAATTCCAACGCCCCATCCAAAAGGGAAGAAACGGTTCAATATTTTGATTCATAATTTAAGAAATCATGTGGTTCAATGGTGTGTAGTCATGAATGGCATTTTTGTGTTTGTCAGGAGTATCTATTACGGTAGAAAAGCATTTGATTATCTAGTAATATTTCGTAATTCCTCATATGGACAAATGATACATAATTGACAAATAATATTTTGTACGCTACAGATAAATTTTGTACTTGCTAAATTATTTATTATTCGGAAAAGTTCATTTGCATACAAAAAATGCAACAGACATTTACTAGATTTACACCGGATACATTAATTCAAACATTCAAATTACTGATCAGCTGTTCACCTCAATAGACATCAAAACAAGATGGATATTCGTGAAATAGGGTTTAAATTGAGCCTCAAAATCGATTTTGATGTGCTTGCTCTATTTTCAAAAGTGTTTGATGAGGAATTTTAGAACGTTGCAGCAAACCAAATCTAAGTGAATTTTTTCTCATCTCTATCAATCAAATGTCACTTTTTAACATTTCATGAATGAAGTTTCACATATTTATAACATCACTTTTTTATTTACATTTATAGCTTTTTGGAAAGTTCGAATTCTTTTTATGCAGATATATTTAGAAAAACAAATATTTAGTGTATTTTAAAGTGGTTTTGTGAAGTCAGCAATGATATTTCAAGAATCCTATACATCTTTCGTATAATATATCATCGTTTCAGTATTTTTCTCTTCATAAATTGGAATGGCAGCAAATAAAGAAGTAAGGACTCCAAAAAAACCCCAAGCAGAAACCATAACGCCCCACAAGCTCTCTGTGACAATTTTGATCCGTAATTACTGCATGTATCGTGAGTCTGATGAATATAAAAATATAGAAGATAAAGCATTATGTTGCAAGCATAGACGAGACATGTGTGTATTAATATTGCGCTTGCTGCAGAGTCCCGATCTGTCTTTGAGTAAGTTGCAAGATCTGCTCACTAGTAGCAAATATGTCATACCAAGTGAAGTTGTGGAATCATTAGATAAAGATCTACATGATCTGTACAGTGGAGGTATAGGGTTTTTGTTAGATATTGTGGAAAGCTTGGAGAAAATTATGGCCGTACCAGACAGTAGCCTGAATGAAAGCAAATCTCTTATGATAGGTAAGAATTGAGTACATTTTTGTTTTCAAAAATGAAATAAATTGTTTTCACATGAAACCTGTTGAATACATATGTAAAGAGCTATTTCTTCTTACCCTAAGAGTCATGTGCCCATGACCCGAACTTTATAAGGGACCCTCATATGCAAAATGTTTTAAGCAAATATTTTATAGAAAGCTGTTTCTGTTTCATTGTTTCATTTATCTTTATAGGGAGTGTTTTTGCAAAAACAAGCATTGTGGGGCACTATATCAGGAGATTTGCTGTCTATTTTGACAAACTTACTTTCTCAGAAATGACTGCTGTTTATGAAAATTTCCAAAAATATTATGAACAGTGGCAGAAAAATTTCATAAAACATGGTAAAACTCAAGAAAAGGATATGGATGTTTGGGCAGATAATAAAGAAACATGGTCTAGAAGGCAGGCAGAGTTGTTCATAGCAACTCAGGTGAAATAATTTTCAGTCTTTGCATTTTTATCTGATACTAAAAATGAACTAAATTTTTTATTTAATCAGTCTAGAGTAAAATGCATTGAAAAATCATATGGAAAGTTTCTGTAAAATTGGATCCTAAAATGCTCTCATGTTAAAATCCACTAAATTACAGATGTAATTTCAAAATTCATAAAAACATGCATATGGAACAAATAATATGTATATCCTACATGAAAAGTCCGATCTAAACAGTGGAAAAGTATTAGTTTGAAATCCTATGTTCATATAGTGCTTTTCAAAAAGGTCTTCCTTATACTTTCTTTATGATTGGGTCAAGTTAGCAACCTCAAAGGGACTATGAAATTGATGTATGTTGTAGGACCACCCTGTGACCAACTAGAAGATAGAAGATGCAAGTCATATGAACATTGTACTTAACATCTTGTAATTCATTCAGAATCTAGCCATCATACACTCTACTTGAAATTTTGGAAATAAAATATTTTTTAAAATGACACTTGCACAATCTTGAAATATCAGTTCTATGAATACTATATTCCAGCTTAAAAGTGGCATTTGAAGATTTCAAGAAGGTAGTAGGGAGCCATGGAACATTTCATTTTGAGGCTCCTTCTGAATTCGTCATAACCATAGGTTATTAAATTAATTTACTTTCCCAATTCCAGACTGCGAGTCTGTTAAAGTTGAGCATTTTTGAAAATTGTGTCACAACTCAACAACCTACATCAATGTTACATAAAGGTGGGTGGGAAGGGAGGTCCTGGGGCTTGCAAACCCACATCACACAACCTGCCTTGGCACAGATGTTAATAAAAAAGGTAAGTCTCTATTTAGTTATTTAATTGGAGAGGGCACTAGGCTTTCCTTTGATACTAGAAGTAGGTAAGAGGTACTTGACTTGACAATTGGTAGTAACTATATAAGTTACAAGATCAAAAGACTGGAAGGTGAAATTGGAACCAACATCTTCTGACCACATACACATTCACTTTGAGATTGCAATAGGTGCAAGACCCATGGTATACTATAGGAATGTAAGGAATACGAATTGGGATGGATACAAAACAACACTGAAGGAAAACCTTTATTCCTGTAGTAAGATCATAACAAATAAGGGATTTTATGGTGGTTTGGGAAATGCAGTCCATATCTGCAGCACCTTGGTGGAATTACAGTCCCAATGAGAAGAGGCGTAAGGTTCGGAAACCTTTTAACCAGGCTAAACTATCTGACGAGTGGGAGCGTTTTACATTCTATAACAAAGCAGGCCACAAAGCCCAGTCAGAATTATTGAAAAGGTTTTATTAGGGCATATCATATGCACTGAGCAGTGCTATGATCTATCGGATTCTCTCCAAGGATGGTGGACAGGGACTAGGATCAATTAAGTGACCAGATGGCATATTCATACAGTCCAGAAGCGAGATCTTGGTGATCCTTGCTGAAAATCACTTTCCAGGAAGTATAAGATTTGATGATATGGCCGGTCTGTTCCCCGCGCAATTGAAGAACAAACATCCTCACTGGGAAGGCTTGCAAGTTGTCATATCTATAGTAACAACTGGTGCGGTTAAAAGTGTAAACCCCCTCATATATGGCTGGATCACAACCATGTTGACATGCAGTACAATAACTACATCCTTACAGAGGGAGATACTTAGGCTTAGAGCTGTCAGGGGGTGTCCACAGGAGGGGTGCTATCTCCATTCTTGTCGCTTCTAGTGGATGGCCTGATTACCATTCATTGCCTGTGGGGGCCTAGGTTAAGGCATATGCATAATCGTGTGTTGGTCAAGGGAGGTCTGTGAAACATATCTCAGAAATATCGGATTGGTAGGAGAGGGAAGGAATCTCAATCAAACTACAAAAAGTGGTCATAGTACCTTCCACCAGAAAGAAAACATTGGGTAGGATTAAACCTCCAACAAAATGAAGTGAAAACATATCGTTTTCAACAGAGGTTGAAACATGTGTGAGTAATCTTATATAAAATGCTAAACTGGAATTCGCATCTGGATGCAGTCCTTAAGAAAGCAAGCACCTCGTTTTGGGACTGTAGAAGCATATGTGGAAAGAACGGGGAATGAAGCCTAAGCAAATGTTTTGGCTTTATACCATGGTCACTAGACCTGTGATAACCTATGGATCCGTAGCTTGGTGGGGCAAGGCAGCATGAAACATACTGTCCAAGCTAAGCTAAGCGCACTACCGAGAAAAGCTTGCATGTTTAGCCCTACACCAACTGCGGCTATGGAGGCTATTCTCAACTTACCTTCGTTGCACATACACTGAAAACCACATACCTTTGACGTCGTAATGTGTACGAGAAACGCGCGATAAGCGTGCGATATGTATGTTCGAAAGAGTGCGCCAATGGCTTCCGTGACCTCGTACTGGGATTGTTAGGCAACGAGGTGCTTCTATCTCTTTCTTACATATCGCACGCTTATCGCGCTTTTCTCTCGTACACATTACGACGTCAGCCAAATTTGAATCTTACCGTATACCTGGAAGGGTAGGCAAGAAAGACAACCTATAGGCTACAAATAGTATATGGACAATATCACTACGGACAGGTTGGTGGAGATACAAAACCACCACAATCTGGAAACGCATTCTCATATAATTCTAAAAATTACATGAAATGCTAAATCCTACTCAATTGATAATTCCGCAAAGCAATGAGCGGGGATAGCAAACCGAGCTAACAAGGAAATAAAAACCATCAACACTGGGAAGGATAACTGGGTTAACCCATGCTAAGGCAAACATTACAATCTTAACAAAAAAAGTATCAGACTCGCAGCCGCGGCTAAACAGGAATAACCTGAAATATTTAGTGGGACTGTACACTGGTCATTCCAAAGTGCGTCACCACATGAGCAGGCTGGAAATGGCGGAAGACACTGAGTGCAGACTGTGCATGGAAGGAGACGAAACGGTTAAGCATGTTTTATACAGATTGGCAGAGTCAAGTACACCACACTTGGGGAAGTAGTACTCCAAGTAGAGGACTTGAAGGACACTTCTCCAAATAAGCTGATCGGCTTCCTCCGGAGGACGGAATTACTGTAAGAAACATAAATAAGTGTGAGCCACAATAGACCAATCAGTCGCAGTGGAGATTCGTGATTGATCCAAACCTAACCTATATCAATATTCTTCTCTTGGAAGGATCCATCCGAGTATGTGTTGAGATATGGAGCAACCTATTTAAAAAAATATGTCTAGTCTTTCAATTAAATAGATTGTCACGTGCCAAAATCACGTAACCTTTTTTTTTACTATTTATCACTTATCCGTAATTTGAATTTCTCTTCATTGATAATAGAGTATCCATTCCTACCCCTTTTCAATTATTTTCTTTTGGCAAATTTAATAGTTTATTGATTGTATAATTTCACTCGTATTATATCTTTCTTTCTCAGCGATTCAGTATGGTTTTGACGATCACCAAAAAACTGTGTAGTTTTTCTCCGTTTCCTTCCTATAAAACATATCTTCATCAAGGCCACTCAAGATTCCTTCTTCTAGAACGTTACGAATTCTGTGTGATTCGCTTTTCTGTTTCCGTTGAGGTCGTGGTGCAGGGGTCGTTTTGTCGTTTTTGGGACTCTGGGATATTAGGCCCCAAGCGCCCATTCATGGACTAGCACCCTTTTCTTTTTGTTGTGTAACTTAAGTTTAGTTATTTTGGTTTGGGTGCTAGGTCTTCCATTTTTTATGGGATTTTGACCCTCAGCTGTAAGTTCTTTTTTTATATACCTTCGGACCGCGTGCCTTAATGCGTGTCCTGATGACGTTCATTCAATATCTGCTTTCTTTTTATCAATAGAAACAGAAGAAAATCATCATCCTTTTTCCTCCAGTCAGTTGCATCGTTGCAGTTTTGCAATTTGGAAGCCATCCCCTTGAAAAAACCCTGATGTGAACAGGGCAAATATCATTCTAATTAACAATTTCATAGATCTTTATACATTTATTATTGCTTATTGAAATTCTTAGAGACTTCTTGATTTTATTAGACATTCTACGTATTCAAATATGGGGCAATGCCTACATGGCACCTTCTATTACATTGATCATGATTTTGATCTTTGAACTGCCATAACTTTTTAGAACAAGGGTATATTAGTTTAGTACATTTTTATCTTTTTTTGCCTTTGCTTTACTTTTCTTGTACGAAAAAAATGTACATGGTTTCGCTTCAAGTACGATTGTTTTCAATGAGTAGTTTTATCTCAGACAGAGAGCAGAGTAGATTTTTAAACAGCCTCTCTCTACGGTTTTTTTTTCTCACTACCATAATTTCGGGCGACGAGGCAAGCAGCCCCTACCATGGTAGACGTTTCGCGGGGTTATCTCGAAAAATAATTTTTTCGTAAGTAAGATTTGTAACATACTTTCTCTTTTTCATTACCCGCACTCCAGTGACGGAGCACATGTGCGTTTTTTTAATCAGTATATTGTGATCCATTTGATATCTTGTTTATTTGGCTCTCTCTGTTACTTAAATTTTGTCATCTCTGTTAGATTCTCCTTTTGTGTGGTGGTCAAGCAAAACAAATTCCGACTAACATCTAGGGGAGTTGTGGCTTAATCCGTCCTAAGTCACTGGCGCTCTTAACCGGCCCCTACTCTCCGCTTTATTTAGCTAGTGCCTAAATTTGCGCGCCAGCAGACAACTGTTTTGCTGGGACCAACCGTTAGATAATATTTATCATTGTGTTTTATTAATTAACCAAAAAAAGGCGTGGCAAGATAAAGGATGATTAGTTGCTGAGTTATAAGCGATACAATGCAGAAAAACTCACATTTGGCAGCCCATCATGGGACATTTTGAAAAATAGTGAATTTATTACCAGGGATATAAAGTACTGATAAGGAACTTCGAGGTGAGATATTTAAGAAAATATTCAAATATAAACCTCTGTGTATGCCGAATTCACTGGAAAAGCTACTATAACGATGGCAAAGAAAATGATAGTCTTTCCCTCACAAAATGGATTTAGAAAGGGGAAATCCACCATGGACGCACTTAGTCCAGTAGTGCAGCTAGTAGAAACAGCCGATAGCGGCAGCTACAGTTGTAAGAAGCTTTGCTTTGTGTTTGCATTTGACGTTAATGAGCCTTTACCACTGCACACTGGCAAAGAATCGCTAGCTGTGTCGAGAAACTATGCACTAGATAGGAAAATTGAACCATTTTAATGAGAGGACGCTTATGAGGAAGGTAGCCATGGGGCTGCCGCAGGGCACCGTCCTAGGCCCGTTGTCTTGGAACGTGTTTTACGATGGTGTGCTTCGGTTACAGATGCTTCCCGGAATTCGCCTTATAGGGTATGCTAACGACCTGGCGACGATAGAAATGTACACTAGAAAAAAAATGGCATATGAAATCATGAGAATTACCATCTGGATGGAAGAAAATGGCTTGAAATTAGCTCATGAGAAGACGGACGTGGTCATACTCTCTGGCAGGCAGAAGCTAACTTCACTAGCCGTTATGGTTGAGAACGTTGAGATTCGAGTGGCTATAAAAGTTTTCTCCTGTCCAAACAAAGAAAATATTCCAAGATGGCGCCTAGCTGCCATTTTGAAATTTTCAACTATCACTTCTACGTTAAAATATAGTATCCATGCATCAATTTCATCGTACGAAATTTCAGCATGCTAACTTGGCCGATTAAAAAATGAAGTGAAAGGGACCTTTTTGAAAAGCACTGCATATTTGTAGTTTCCATGTTATTTACACGTTTTTAGTGTTTTTTCTTTTTTATATCTAGGCTGCCCTATTATCAAACAATGAAGGCAAGGCGCTGCCTCCTGATGAGTTGCATAAACGCATTATGAACATTCTAGAGTCAAACCCTGACCTGGTTGGTGCCCATTTTCTCTCCTACCTCAACTACCTACGTGTCGATGAGTTTTGTGGGGCCATGAGAAGCCTATTCAACTGCTTTGATGCCGGTCTTGACCCCAATGTCAAGTAATATAATAATAATATTTTTTAATATAATTTGTTTACTTATAAAACATTCATTTAAGTGACTTCTAGATTTGTGGCTATCCAAACTGCATTTTTTTTTTTTTGAAGTGGCCCTTGGGCCACATTAAGTTGGACAGCCCTGGTTTAAATCATTAAAATGTTCTAAATGATCTATTAGAAGATGATTTTTACTTCCCACTCCTGCTGGTGGGAAAGTATTGTAATCGCAAAAATTTTCGAAAATGAGATATATTTTTTGGAGGTTATATGACATCAACATCACGAAAAAGCATGTCACTCATTTCTGTCGGCCTATCCGCTAATCTTATAAACCTATAACTTGAGAAGTACCACTCGGATTTCGATGATATTTTTACACAATGTTACTAATACGTCAAATACGCAAAAGCTTTGTAAAAACAAAAAAATCTCTCAAATTTCGTTTAAGGCGATACTGATCATTTTCGGAATTTTTTTTGTAGGGGTTAAATATTGGGGGTTACGGGTTGCAGGCGTGGAGGAGGAGGGTGTATCACAATTTTTTAACGCTGGTATATTTTTACGCCTTCAATCCCAGTCATTCTACGCAGATATTAGGCCTCGGTGGTCATACGTCACAATCGGCAATCGCTTCCACACTGTGCATGTATGCTAATATCGTATTTCTTTTATACATATTCTTAGCTAGGTTTTTTCATAGAAAGGCTAACTTGTGCCGAACATGATCCTCTACGAACGGATGACAGCGTAACGCTGGAAGTAGTCAACTTACTTGACGCCATTTTTTAAGTTGCAAATGAAAATTAGAACTAAGTAGGTTGTGTTATTATTGTTATTCAAAAAATATTTTTAGGTACTTTGGTGATGGAAAGAGTAAGCGACACAGATTTGCCGCCTTGAACTTAGCAATCCTTCACTACCATTTTGGACATGTTGAGGAGGCCTTAGCTGCGCTAAAGGTACAGACTGTCATAGATTTTTAATGGATGGAATATTTTTATTTTATGGAATTCACACACCACACCATTCAATAATTTATTTTAGGAGTCTATAAAAATTTCTCAAGAAGCCAATGATAATGTCTGTCTCCAACATGCTCTTTCTTGGTTATATAGACTCACCACAGTCAATGAAGACAAGCTCATTGTGCAGTGCATACTGAAGAGTACAGAGTTAAGTTCGTAGACTTGTTACATTTTTAGTTTTTTGATTATGCCCTAAATTAAAGTGATAATTTCCAAATTATTGAATTTACAATAACATTTCTTAAAACAGTTGACCACTTTTTCAAAAGATTAAGTTTTTTCTGTCAAAATCTATTACTATGAAAAAATCAAGTGCCACAAAAAATTGATTAATGCACTCAATAGTTTTTCTTCACATCTTTAGAAAACCACATCATCGTAATCCTTTCAACATTATTTTGTAGGTTGAGTTTAAGCTATACAGCTTCTTTAGGATTACAAACATTTGGTCAATATGGCTGCCTAAGGACGGGTAAATCGTACGCAATTTTCGAAACGCTGGCCAAGAGTGACATGATCAACTGTCAGCACAACTACAAAGACCTGATTTCAAACAATTATGCCATGAAAGCAGCTCTGTGGCAAGTTTATGGGAAAACAGAAATGTCTTCATTGTGGAGTCAGTTATTACTTTATCAGGTATTTTTTTATGTTTATAGATAAAAGATGCGAATATTAAGATACACCTAATAGAAATCGATAATATTTTTAACTAGAAGAAACCATTTTTCAACCTTCTGATCCAATGACTTGGAAAACGCCTAATGCATCGCCGGTTGATATACTCCACCTTATTAGAATCTACTCGTTTGCAAAGTATATTTGTAAAACGACAGCTTATTTGTCTCCTAAAACCATACTTGACAAAAAAAATACTTTTTTACAGTTTGTTTGCATCGTTTCTGGATGCGTATTTATTTCAACGCGAAAAGAGTCTACCGCCAAATATCAACAAATGTGACCATACGAGTTAGGAAAGTAACGCTATATCGGTCTTGATACCAGTTTCATCATAAACCATCTTGAAACGCACTTCTGTTATTGATGATAATTTTGAAAATTTGGAAAAATTGCATGTTACAATTTTGCGATCCAGTGCTGCAACTTATCAATGTAAGGGATGGTAGTATCCCGGATGATATGCTTGAATTCCTACCTTGTGATTGATTGACAACCTTGTGAATTATATGCAAGATCATCCATCGTATTGACCAGTTCTACATCCTTTTTATTGACTCGACCGACTTGACTATATTTTTCTCACCACTTTCCACATATGATGTGTTTGTTTGGAAATATGAATCCTCACAAGTTTGTGGAAAGAGGCTGTTATAACTCCTCTAGGCAAAGAACAAGAACCCAAAAGAACACACAGATTTGAGGCCAATTAGTATATTGTGTAACTTATCAAAAATATTGTAAAAAGTTGTTTATTTAGTTTATTAGTCCATTATTTTGAAACGTATAATATATTTCCAAATTAGCAGTCTGATTTCCATGGCGGTCTCAGCACTACATCGGCATTAGTGAACGTAACTGATCAAATTATTTGTAATTTGGGCAATTATATGTACTAGTGTTGTTGGATTTTTTAAAGCATTTGATACGGTTAACCATGACCTTCTATCCAAATAAAAAATACTACGGAGTTTCTGATTTCCCTCTTTGTTTTTTTTTTAAATATTATTTAGACAATCGCAAGCAACGAGTAATAATAATAATAAATCTTTATTTCAAAATAACACTGCATGATTACTACGTATTACACACTGTTAGGTGAAATATACGTCACAGTGTCATCGAGGCAGAAAAAACAAAGAGGCATACACCTTAGGAAAAACCATTGTTATACATGGGAAATCATTTCTTGGCAACAGCGCATCGGCTCGTCTACTTTCATCGCTATTCGTACATAATTCCTACCGTTAACCGCAGACCTGTATCACGAATGAGAATAATAGGCAGATACGCTGTGTTGCCAATTTGAGTAGAGCTTCCCGAATTGTGGGGAATTTAGAGTTAAGTGTTGATTCATTCAAGCTTTTAATCAGCATGGCCTAGACGTTAGAACTTCATAAAGTTAACATGGAAGCTGAATGCTGCTGGAGTATAGTGTTTCGAATATTCAAAGCGGAGCGGGACACTATACTCGTTCAATGGGTCATCAAGCCACAGTCTTTTCAACAAAGAAATTATTTTACGAAAATGCGTTATATTTTTACGATTTTGTCGTCACCAAATCTCCTTTTCTCAAAATGTACGTCTGTTGTAGAATTTTCAGCAAACTAAGCAAGAAACGTGATCTAGTATTTACTCAACATTACGGATTTCTCGAAATACATTAAAAAATGTTACCTAGATACCTAACTGCCCCAAGCTCTTTAAATATAACACCTTAAACCAGGGTTACCAGGTGCTCAGTCACGTTGATTGTCATGTTGTACTGCGCAAGTCAGCAAACAATCTGGCGTAATAAACGTTAGGAATCATCAGGTATTGCCAGATTCCCGAATACCGGGCACCATAGTAACCGTTATAGTTGTCCTTCAAAGTTGTTAAATCGCCCCTATGGCGCAAATTCGCCACACCAGGCAACTGTGCTATAAACAAACCCTGTTTATCACTACTATTTGATAGTCATATGGTAGTTGTAGCCCTATCTAGCGGTCCATGATTTCTCTCAATACTATTGTATCTCTACTGGCAACAAGAATAGGGATTACAAAATCATTTATACAACAATATACAAATATGAAAAATATGATTTGAACCATGAAACATTAATACAATTTTAATAGTTTGAACTTTTTTCATTTTTGGAATACTCTTATGTGGAATCCGCAGCTATTTTTCCCGAAATTTGGGTACACTTAGATTTCTTAGAAATATGACATATTGGTATCGGCAACTCTGCGAATGGGAGAAACAAATCGCATTTGTTGAGCGCATCCGTCTAAGCGGTAGGCGCCAGCGCCCGTTCTGCCATCTCTCTCTTTTATTACTCTTCTACTTTACCCCGTTGTCCGTCACACTCCGACGCTGCCAGATACGATCCTACAATCGAGTGTCTTTCACGCACCTACATACTTTTGTATATTTCCATCTCTCTTCCTCATCATAATGTATAATAATGGTTTTTCTCAAGGTGTATAACATAATAGAGATTTTACATTTCAAAATATTCTTGAAGGTCATATGGTTCTAAGTGCATTAACAATTGATAAATACTCTTTTTATATTCTTTTATATCCTTCAACCTTTTAATTTCTTGTGGTAACTTATTATATATTTTACTGCAGCTATAATGGACATTTTTTTCGGTAACCGTGATATGATGGTCTGGATACAGAAGATTTATATTTCTATTTCTTGGGTTATAGTCACTTCGAGGGTTACCCATAAAATTGTCAATATTTTTAAATGTAAAAATTAGAATCTCTTGAATATATATTGCGGCTACAGTTTACATTTTATTATTCTTAAATTTTCCTCTGCAAGTCTCTCTAGAGGAAATTTGTAGGATGCACCTCAGCACTCGCTTCTGCACTAGAACGATCCTATTGGTATGTCTACTATGTCCGAAAAAAATTATTGCAAAACGTACAATGGACTCAAAATTCGCGTAATATATATTTTTTGAGTCTTGAGGTCTAGGTACTTACTTAGTACTCTAATGCTATAACATGCGTCGTTTAACCTTTTTTCTAGATGTTCTATATGTTTTTGAGGCATTCAATGATAATCCATTACGAGCAAACAACAAAAACGCTTTCTCGCAGAGGCTCAAAGTACTTTCAGCTAAATGATTGAAATCTTGACCAGAGACTAGTACACTAGTGTCATCAGTGTACTGGATCGTGCATACATTATTTGGGCTTGTAATACTAGCACACAGATCGTTCACAAAAATCAAAAAGAGGAGAGGTCATAAGACGCTACCTTGTGGAATACCTCTTTCTACCGTTAACCGTGATGAAACGGTTGATATTTCATTCTTTGTAACGAAAACTTTTTGCTTACGATCTGTCAGATAAGACTTAATCCAGTTGCAAGAATCTCCCCTTATCCCGTATCCCTCGAGTTTATTCAATAGAAGAGAATGAACTACACAATCATAAGCTTTGGAGAGATCAAAAAATAGACCCAGTGATATATTATTTTCAAGGCATTCTATGATGTTGTGGCTGAAAGAATAGATCGCCGTGATGATGGATTTCCATTTTACAAACCCATGTTGTGACTCTGCAATTAAGTTATTACAAATCATATGATGCATAATTCTTGAATACATCACTAACTAAAAAAAACTTTGCAAAACAAGAAATTAAGCTTGTTGGCCTATAATTTAGCAAGTCACTAGGATCTCCTTTGTTTATATATAGGTAGAACTATAGCTAATTTAAGTTTTTCAGGGAAAATACCGTACTTAAGTGAGTTGTTTATTATGTGAACCAAAGGTTCCAGAATCACTTCTAAGCAATATTTTAAATTAAATACTAACTGGAATGTCATCATCACCAGTGCTTATTTTATTTTAAAGTCTTTTGCCCAGTTCTGCTAGTTCTAGAGCATTAACATATTCTAGCGGCATACACTCTTGCACACGGTCTAAAAAGTCAGAAGAGTTATGTATTGGTGCCTGTGGTAATATTTTAATTACTTCATTAATACAGTATTCATTGAAAGCATTTGCTATAACTTCAGGATCACCTGGTATAACACAGTCAACCCAATTTTGACCTTTTATTTCATTTACTATACACCACACATATTTTGATTTATTATCTAACTATTAGGTAACAATAAATTGTACTATCTGCTGACTTTGTTATAGCATGGTTCATAAAAATTGTCACTGTTGCTTATAACATATAGGACATCCAGTCGGTCCCTACATTCCTTAATATTATTATCCGTTTCCTGAGAATGATGTGTGTTAGGGAGCCTTTTTGTCACTTTTTACTGTTTTCATGGGAAACGATTGGCCAAAAATAGATACTACTAAAATAATTCCATTGTTTGTTTACATCATTCTGAGGAATTTGAAGTAATTTTTGCCAGTTTACAGATCTGAGCTAGTTAAAAAAATTCATTTTCTGAACTCTGTATAACACTTAATATTATTATCCGTTTCCTGAGAATGATGTGTGTTAGGGAGCCTTTTTGTCACTTTTTACTGTTTTCATGGGAAACGATTGGCCAAAAATAGATACTACTAAAATAATTCCATTGTTTGTTTACATCATTCTGAGGAATTTGAAGTAATTTTTGCCAGTTTACAGATCTGAGCTAGTTAAAAAAATTCATTTTCTGAACTCTGTATAACATTACCAAGTTCGTGCATATTAACCGTCATTGTTATTTTTTGTAGCAGTGTGATCTGAGATTAATGACATTAGATACATAAGTTGAGGTATTGGTGAAAATATTGTCAATACAAGATCCACTGGTAGATGTTATGCGTGTGTATTGGAATATACGAGTAGTTTGATGCAAATATGAATTTAAAAGTGAACATAGAGTTTTTTGTTCAGACTTTCCTGAGAAAAAACTATATTGAAATCACCGGCTATGCAAATTGTGGCACTGTCATCGCGGATTTTCAGTAGAATTTGTTCCATTTTTTCTAAAAACATGCATATTACCTGACGGTGGTCTATATATTGACAACATTATGAAATTCAACCCATATAAGGAACATTTTACTGCCGCACCCTCCAGGGAACCTTCCACAGATAATGATTTTATATCTGACCTTTCCGAGCACTGAGCTCCCACCCTCACATAAACTGCAATCCCACCAGCTTTCCTTCTTTTCTGCAAAAACACGATGCTAACTTGAAGTTCCTAATTCCATAGTTGATAATTTAGTCTTGACTCTTCCAGTGTTCAGTGATGCAAATGAATTTACAGTCACTATTATTTGCTAGCATCTGGTATACCTCATTCATTGAGTTTTCCAACGGACTGGACGTATTGATGAAGTAGAGCTATTCTGTTGTATTCCTCCATTTGCTTGAAAGAGTCATAGGTGTCAGACTCATCAGCATAAATTTGTTCCCTGTTTATGTTTGAAATTTATGTTTGAAAATCCTGGCTGTAATTGATCTTATTTCTAAACCTCCTAATTCTCGATGTGTAGACTGGACACTTAGGATCGCGGGCAGAGTTATTAAGGTCACTCTATTTCATTTTTCGGCAATTTGCACATTTAAGATCATGTTCCTAACAGGTGGTGGCTTCATGGTTACCTGATCATTTGTAGCAACATGTCTGCTGTTTGCAGTACTTAACAATGTGTCCAAAATTTGAGCATTTAAAACTGATTGCCAAATTAGAAGTGTTCTTTAATGTAGATCGTTACCACATCGAAGTTTATCTGACCACGTTTTAAGAACCACTTAGCAATTTCGGGCGGTGCTTGTAAAATCCAGTTCTTCTTTCTTCTTGATTTTATCTGTAATACTATAGTTTAATTCAGCTTCAATTTCATTATTCAGCCGTATGAGCTTATCTGTAAATTCTTTTGCCCCGTATCCTTTTTAAATTTCTGTGACCATGAACATAGGATCGATTCCATCTGATGTTTTGATTGTTACGTCTTTTTATCTTTCAATATGTTTTTCAGTTTTTGTTGTTGGCTTTCAGTGTGGCTTTCTACTATTACTGCCCCTGAATATAATTGCCTAATATTTTTGAAGCCTCTTTCGCTATCCTTTTGCGTCAACTCTTGTTTAAGTCTACTTAGGACCACCTTAGGATTTTCTGTTTTTTCCACTCTTATGATTGACTCAAGTTTCCGATTTTCTGGTGGAGTCGTCCATAGTTCTTCCACTTTGCTTATTGGTTCTTTGGTTGTACTTACTGTCTTTCCGCCTACAATACTGACATAACTTTTTGGTTATACTAATTGAGTTCTAGTAGTCTCTTGATTTTCTTGCACGTTCGATAGGCTTCCACTAGCCTCTGCATGTGTGTACTTTGGCTGGGTGTTTTCTATTCTAGCTGCTAACATTACATTCTCTTTTTCTAGCTGACTGACTTTGTACACAACTTGTGTCAGTAATTTTTGTATATTCATAGTAGCTTGTACGATGCATGTTTTATCCTGTGTGTTGAAAGGAGTTAGCGTAATGTCTCTATCGATGCGCCTGCTTATGGTATCAATTTCATCAAAAAAAAATTGAATTGATTCTTCCGTCATACAATTTTTCACTTCATGACACAGCCTTTTACTAACATTTTCTGCCCCTGGACTAGATTGCGATCTGGGTCTTTTACCTTTTTCAATGTTAGGGTGGTGTTCTGCAAGAAAGTCCGCGTGGCTTCTATGGTAATCTAGGCTTCTTTAGGTGGGGTACTAGAAATTGAGGATTTTGGTTTGAGTATTGCGTCAACATCATACGTTGTATCATTTTTGTTATCTGATTTTGTATTATCACTTGTATATTTTTTCAAGCAGGCTTACAATTTCATCAGTACCACACCTTTTTGGTGGTTGTTTTTTTATTGGGAACCTGCTCACTGCCAAGGATTATTTTATTTATCTCCTCTTTTTGTAGGGTAAGCGTGCTAAGGGAGCTACTTCTGCTCGTCTTTTTCAGTTCTTCTTTAAAATTTGGATTCCTTCTTTAGGTTGGATAAAGTTGTGTACAATTGTACATTCCTTTCAACACACTATCACCACTTTGCAATAGATTTTATTTGCACTAGGAACTACAAAAAAACGACCAAAAAACGAGAGCGACTAAGAAGAGTAAGAACAAGCCAAGGCGTTTCTGCTAGTGCTGATGTTGCTTCTGGTGTTCCACAAGGATCCGTACTTGGTCACTTGTTATACTTTACTATACTTTCGACTTGCATACTGCTTTAGAACACTGTTGTATTCAGACTTACTTGGAGGATATCCAACTGACTTTCACTTTTGACAACTGACCTTGATCAAGTGTCGTATGAAATTAGTTTTGACCTGGTAAACATGATTAACCATTTGAAGCTTAATCATACTAAGAGTTTTGCAATGTTATTCTGTCCTAAAACCAACTAAGAACGTTTCAACATGACAACTGATTTGAGGGTAAATAACATCACTCTGCAAAAAGTTCAGGTGTCACTTTAGACGTAAATCTTAGATTTCATCACCACGCCAGTAGTATATAAAAAGCTTTAATTTTAGGATCTAATTTCACACTTAGGAGAAATATTGAGCGTAGTTTGAATATCCGTATAAACAATGAGATAGTCCCCATTGTTCAGGAAGCAAAGAGTCTAGGCGTAATCTTCGATAATGCATTATCATTTGAACCAAATAAAGAAAAAAATGACGGCTGCTTACATACGATTAAGAAATATCTCCGAACTAAAAAATGTTTACTGCCTAAGCAAAAGTATTTCCTTTGTCAGAATCTCATACTGTCGCTTTTTGACTATAGAGATATAGTTTATGGGAGCTCGTTGGCGTATACTACTAAAAATGCAATACAAACATTGCAGAACGCCTGCATGCGATTTTCATTCAACATACCTTATCGTAACCACATAACACCTTACCTAAACAATTTGTCTATACTGAATATGCTAAATCGTAGGAAACACCATTTATTTAATTTCATCTATAGAATAATAAAATCAGGAAAACCTAAGTATTTGAAAAATGAACTTTTAACTTTTAATCATTATTACGGGACAACATGTAACCAGAATTTTTTTATTACTCCTCGACATAGGTCTGCAGCATTTCAACGTTCTTTTTCATTTCTTGCAGTTAAAATGTGGAACAGTTTAAATAATGATGTAAAGGTAATGTCACAAAGAGTGTTCTCAAAGTATATAATGGCCATGCTTCTTCAGGATCAATAATACAAAAATAAGTGTGATTGTGCACGGATACTTGTTGTCAATTTTATTTTTTCAAATTTATCTTTTTATTAAGATGGAGAAGCGAGCATGTTATGATAGATGTTGTATGTGTGTGTGTAGATGTATTTCGGTGTGGTTAACTGTACGAGGGTTCGTCGGTGTGACTTCGCGTCTGTTGCTTTCTGCCGCTCTTCGCCCCCTCTCCGGTGCTCCACACCCGTCGGAACGTTGACTTTTTAAGTTCGTAAATACATTTTTTTCTTCTGCAATATCAATGGTTCATGCTCGTAATAAATGAAATCGTTAAATTCCTAAATATTGTTTATATATTATAATATATGTGTAAATTACTGTAACACAGGGCATTTTCACACCCACCCTACTTATGTAAGGCTGGGTGTTAAGGGTCATTTGATCGAGAATTTGTTCTTTTTGCCAAAAATATTAAGTGTGTGTATTTTCTATAATACGGTAAAAATAATGTTTTTTTTTTGTTTTTTGACAAATAAATGTATTTTGAATTTGAGTTTGAATATTAAAAAATAGATATGCAAGCTTGAGGCTCCTATGTGAAAATCATTCTATCCTGAATTTCAAGACTCGAAAGAAATTAGTAGAGAGTTTGGATAAGTCTAAACTGCTTTACTGTTTCATCTTATTTTATCCTTGTCTTGCCTTCATAACTAAAACCAGATTGCAGAAAATTCAAAACTGTTTCTGTACGTTTTGACTTCGATCTTCGTAGGTACGGACTTGTTATATATAAAATCTGTGAGTTGAGGTGGCTGAAGCTCAAACATCTTTTTGAGTTTTTAATGTTAGTTTTTATACACAAGATAATCATCACCAAGAGACCTATATACCTAGCTAATAAGTAAGTTCCTCGTAGAAATCTAATTACAAGAAGGTTACGCCATGATGACCATTTCGACATTATTCTTCACCGTACTTCATTGTATTAAACATCTTTTATGTACGATGCCGTTCAGTTATACAATTCACTCAATACGTCTAACAAACAAAAAAGTTAAGCTGCCTTCAAAAACCATTGAAATGAAAACAGCTATTAGAGATGCAAACGTCTCTCTCAATGCTTGACTTATTGTTTTGTTATTCTTCAATTCTTATTCATTCATTTACATTTTTTCTTTCTGGCTTGCTATGCTTGTAATTAATATGAGTTTATAACTGTTGTGGAAGTATGTATGTTACGTGTGTAAACTTTTTGTTATGTTTGTTTGTGGTTAAGTGGAAGAGTAGTCGTCAAGCTAAACTTCGTCATGATGTGGAAGTTTACTAATAATGTCACTTTATTACTATTATATTCAAAGTCCATTGCCCAAGAATTGCAGTGCGAAGTATAGACTTATGCAGGGTGTTTATTTGAAAACTTCCCACCGCGGATTTATCGAAAACCACTGATTAAAGGAAAAAACGTCGGGATACTTTAAAAGATTTAACTAAAAACTACTTCACCCCCTTTCACCCTCGGCCCCCCAGAGTCATTCCTAAAATTTTAAATGACAAGAGGTATTGAGTAATAGCTTGTTTGGAAGGTCTTTCGAAGTCCGAAAGAGTGGAAATGATTCTAATTTATGGTGCATAAAATCAATGTGCTCATTTTATCTCAATGGATTTGTTAATAAGCATAGCTGCAGGTATTGGAGCAATGAAAATCTAAATGCTTTTGTAGAAGGGCATACCCAGTATCCCAAAAAAATAATGCATAGGCAGGAATTTTAGGAAACAAAATGATTGGACCATTGTTTTACTAATGGGAATTTGAATGGAGACATTTATTTGGATATGTATAAAATACCATCAATCCGCTTATCACTGAAACCATCGAAAACCAAATCCAAGAGCATGGAAACCCTATACTTGAAGAGGCTGAAATATATTTCCAGGCAAGACGGCGCTCCTTCTCACTATGTTCTTCCGGTTCGGCAATGGCTAGACGACGAGTTTCAGATAACTGGATAGGACGAGGACGGTCTATAGAATGGCCTGCTAGATCTTCTGATTTGACGCCATTAGACTTTTTTCTATGGGGTCATTTGAAATCTAGTGTGTTTACTCCCTAAACCTGAAAGTTTGGATCAACTTCGTCAACGCATCATCGAAAGCTGCCATGATATCCCACAAGATGTTTTTTAAATTGACCGTCAGGAATTTTAACATCGCCTATATCATTGTTTGGCCAATAACGGGCAACATTTTGAGCACTTATTGAAATAAAAAGTGATATTTTCGTGTGTTTTTGTTGTCTAACTGAACAAATTAAGAGAATAAGGATATTTCTAATTTTCTTGAAATCGAATTGACCGATTTTAAAAAATTAGACGTCAAAATAAAGGACTTCGAAAGACCTTTCAAACAAGCTATTACTCGATAGCCCTTGTCATTTAAAATTTTCACTAGGATGACCCTTGAGCAGAAGGAAGGGGTGAAGTAGTTTTTGTTTAAAAAGTTGTAGAAACACCCTCTATTTTTTTGTATCATTTTATTTTCCAGAACATGGACTGCGTGTTCCCATCCAAATCCTACCACGGAGACGGCTTCTGTCTAGCAGTTTGCAACGTAGGCAACTGCTTGCTTCTCGAAGGCGACTACCACCTCACCAACTGCATCCTGGGCTACGCGAAGCGAAGGTTCCCCAACGAACCTAACAGCCACATTTGGATGCTGTGTGAAAACTATTTCGTCTTCACGCGCTCCATGATGCGCGAGCAATGGCTCGAAGCCGAAAGTGCTGCGCAGAAGATCGCTGTGCATGATAAGTGGGAGGGTCTTCTTAGGTTGGCAGAGGTGTCCTATCAAAGGCAGGATTATGCCGAGGCGCAGAAGTTGATTGAAATCTTGCTGCATCAGTACGAGAATGACAGTTCGTATAGGTACGACTACAATATTAACCACTATTATACCGCATTTTGACGTTTTCAGTTTTTTCTTTTTGGGGAGTACTATGGAGGCATGAAGTGTTTTAAAATTTCAGGGTTCCTAGGTCGAACAACTCGGTCTGGAAATACTTTTAAAGATTGAAGGTTCGTAAAGTGTGAATTTTTACATAGTCTCGCCAATGGTCTCGCAGCATTTTTTGTGTTAGAAGGGATCGCAGGATTCATGTTCAGGAGGATATTCGTCTCCGGGGGAAGGAGTTAAACAGCCTTATTATTTTGGTGCCGTTTTGTGTGGAATAACAGATCCGTTGACAAATGTTTCGTAGCCAATCACGTTTTGGCATAAAAATATTTCGCGAATTTATTGAAAAGTAAACGCCACGTGACTAGGTCTGGGTTTTGTGGAAGGACTAGTATTTACTATTATAATTAGTACTTACTAAGAGGTTATTTCATGTTTAGCTTATCATGATTAGATGTTTACTTGTGGTACGAACATTTACTCCCAATGATTCACCTCAGAGCAAGTGTTAATTTGATTTTCGAGGGAAAAAGCATTCACTTTTTGTTCAACTGGCTCAATGGAATTTCTGAATTCAATACCAAGTCGTACGAAAACAATTATTTCAAACCTCATTTTAGATTTTGCAGAAATATTCTTTCGCGTTAATTTTTAATTCTTTAATATTATATGTATTTACACATTTTGCGTTCATTTTGCAAGCGAAGTGATACAGACATGAGGCTTTCAAATCTGTTAGCTGGCTCACTTATGAAAGAAATATTTAAACTGAGATTTGGTAAAACTAACGTGCAATGAACTAAAGTGAGCTGAGTTCCTGAGATTCTATGTAAATCGAACGCGGCTATACTGTTTATTACAGATTCAACGACAGATACTACTACATCCAAGCGAAAATCCTAGAAGCAGAAATCCAGTTTTCATCCAGCTACCCGAACATCTCCCAAGGCGTCCTATCTACGCTCTACGCCACACTAACCGAAGCCAGATCTTCATCCCTCGATTACCAAACAAATTTGATCTATTTGCACATCGCAAAGTGCTTTTTGACGCTTGGCTTGACTAGTCAAGCATTGGTGGTGCTTGACAAGTGCATGATTCAAGTACTGGCACATGGAGGTCGGTATGATAGGGCTAGGGCTGTGTTGTTGTTTGCAAAGTGTCTTATCAGCGAATCTCATAAGGTAAGAATCGTAAGCGGGTGATTCGTTTAGAGGTACTTTTAAAAAACTGAAATATAAAACCATTTAGCGTTATCAAGTTTATCTTTAGATCTTTCACATTCAGTTTTTAATGAATATTTCTTTGAAATGTTAGCAGGCGTCTGCGGTCAATGTGTGAATGTGAAAATTCCAATTTTCGATGATGCATCCTGGCATTTGGCGACCGTTACCTTCAAAATATTTGGTTTCAACAAAACACCATGGCTCTACCTTCAGCACAGTTTGTGACAATAATAATGAAGTATCTCCCCAAATGCCGCTCAAAATGCACGGATGCGTTATCGATTGTGGAAGTTCCAAAATAGCAGTGGCTGCTACTTGTTTCTGAAAAGGATTAACATTGGTGCTTCTTTTGTTTCATAATAAAAACAACACGATATACTTTTGTATGCATTTACGAAATTTACATCTAAGTAAATCACCCAAAAATCTTCTATATGTAAATGTGAATATATGTCTGGTCTGTCAGCATCACGTCCGAAGTCCGAACCACAATACGGAGAAAAGTAAAAATGTATACACTTACTAATTGATTTCCGAGAGAGGTTATAAACATAGCTTTATCGGCGGACTCATCGTTGCTTTTGCAACACTCAACCTGTGACCGTCAAGCAATAGAAACGTTTTATTTTGCACTAGCTGTTACCGATAGGAAAAACCTGAATAATGTCAACTTGCTGATTAGATAGCTGCCAGTGTGCAAATAGTTCAACCGCTCTTGTTCGCTCTAAGCGTCACATAAGGAGGAATGACTCAACGACATGCTCAATGACCAGCATGCTTTGTTGCTTGCAAAATGCCGAGATAGTCTGTAGAGTGTATCTCTGAAAAGATATGACTAAAACAAAATTGAGTAGCAGAGTAGCAAGATCGCATCTGGATGATTATGTGGGATTATGTGTATCCGTCTGAATATGCTGCCCATGAAGTAAATCTATTAGTTGTTGTCCTCACTGAAGAGAGTTATGTTCAAAGTTAAAATCATAATTTTCCCCTGTTTTTTTTTCCTTTTAAAAACTTTGAGAAGCATTACATCTAGGCGCTGATTTGTATTTTCTACTTGACACGCAAAAATAAATTTCAATAATGTCTGGAAATGAAAAATAATGTAAAATGTAATAACCTTTTCACGTTGCATAAGATATTCCTGTCTGTAGTCTATTTTCTCTCCTTTTACAGCATAGTGAGCACAGACCTCTTTAGACCTTTTCAAGATACGTAATACCCCTGCCGCCACTTCGTAGGCTTGAAACTGTTACTAACATAGAACATTAGTAAATTGACAGCCAACTTGCATGCTTGGGGAACTTGGTTAGTTCTGCTGAAGTTTCAATTACATTTATAATGCAAATCTTTAGAATGTTCAAAAACCGGAAATATGTTTTTTTGATACCTCGGACAACATTTTCCGTCGCTTTAGTAAATTCAGTTTTGTTGAGAAGGTTTTTTGTGTTTTACATATTTGACATTTGAATCAATTATCCCAACGACTTCAAAAACTTATATTTCCTTCACAGCGCTTGAGAATGTTGCTTACATATTTTGTATGTATTTTTTTATATTTTCTAAATAATGTATTATAATGCTCTTGAAACACCAATTTACTATCCACATATGTTATATACCCAGATATTTTAATTATACGGCTACTTCAATTTTTCCATCATTAATCATATACTGTACTAGTAATATATGGTTAGTAGTATGCAAATAATCTGTGGTCATTACTATAGCTTTCTTGACTTATCGTTTGCCGTAAAAAACACGAAGTCGACAATAATGAAGGATAGTTTGTCGTGGTGACGGTATTCTATAGTATATTAAATCTATTCCAGGACGAAGAGAAAGATGAGAGAAAAAAGGTATTAGCCCAATGTGCAGAGATGCTGAAAAAAGTCAAAGAAGATTTCGAAAAAGTAGAAGCATTTTCCAGGGCTAAAGATGTGCTGTATTTGCAAGCACATTTGTATAATTTGCTTAACCAAAAAGCTGCAAGGAACAAGTGTGCGTTACAGTACAGACTTTTAGATGAAGAATATAAAACTGAAAATTTTCAAAGGCTGATTAAGTATTTGTAATTTATTGTAGGCTGATATGTATATAAATAAATCTTTTCGAGGCAGTTTTCTGAGTTTGATCTTTGTGCAACACCTGTTAATAAATGGAGGAAGGTCCCTCATGTGATAAACTTTAAGACAAAATACTTATGTCTGCATGCCTGTGAATGCAAAATAATATTTACACACTTTGTTATACAATGCATATCGATACTAGGATCTGAATAAGTACCTTCTGTCAATATCCATGATATATAGACATTAAAGTAATGGATTTATGATAGGATGTGGCAGTAGTGGACATAAATGGGAACGAATTTGTATTCCTGAGACTTTTATTTTACACCGAAGCGGTCGCGCAGGCAAAGCCTAAATGCCAGAGCACCGCGTCTGCTATGAGGATCCCAAAGAAATTTTGTTGATCCAGTTTTTAAACTGCCTAAGATTAGTTGAACCGGGAAAAGCCTTCACTTGTAGATTGTTCCACAATCTCGACACCCTCGGGGCGATATCATGGAGGAGAGCTCTGAGGAGCAAAGGCGATTGGCGTAGCGGTAGAAACGAGCTAGATCGCCGGAGCGAAATGGTCCCGAGACTGTCCGTTAGAGAAGAGTCATCGGACAGCCGCCCGCCTCTGAACAGCATCGAACATGAATAATGTAGTCGGGGAGGCAAACACGTGAATATACCTCAAAGCTAGGTCTTATCTGGGCCTTCAAACAACATCGAGCATGGATAATTTAACCAGGGCGGCAACACCCCAATCATGTGAGCAGTACTCGAGGCTAGGTCTTATCTGGAGCTCGTACAGAGTGAGGAGGTCTTGTAGAGAAAAGTACTTCTTAGCCCTAAACAAATAGCCTAGCTTTCTCCCAGCAGCTGCCGCAGTTGAGATGTGTTCCTGCCAGACCAAGTGCTCAGTGACCGACCAGCCGAAATGAACGGCTCTTTGTTAGAACTCGGCCATCCTTTGAAACCGGATGAGCACTAGGACGCTTTTTGTTCGTTAAGGTAGAGTACTGTGTTTTGGGAGCATTAAACTGTATAGGGTGGCCAACTGAGAATGCGAGGTACTGTATCTGGGAACCTATCCACCGTAGAGGCTTGCGACAAAAAAAGTTCTTACTAAAACCGCAAAGAGAAAATCTATTTTCAAGTTTCTGAAATGGCCGCTAGGGGCGTACTGCAATCTTGAATCTGAAAAAGTGTTGTTTCTGTGAATTCCTCTATATTAATTTGAACTTTTTTTGTCTGAAAATGTTTGCTGTATCTCTACAAATAAAGTGGTGGGTGGTATTCAAAGGTTTCCGTACCAAACACCCTGTATCTTCGAAAAGGCTGAGCCGATTTTAAAAAACTTCAGCGCGTTGAGAAGAGCTATTCTTGGGCCTCAAATGTAAAATTTAAAGTTTTGTTAGTTTCACATGTGGCCGGTTGAGGGCTTTTTTCGACGTTCCGACAGAATTGGTTGATTTTCTCAAAAAATTAAATGCAGTGGAATGATTTTTTTTATGAAAAAGTAGCTAAATGATGTCCGAACAAGCTCGCGAGAACCGCATCTCGATATCTCGTTCGTAACGTAAAATTTAGGCCAAAGAAAATTTTATACGGAAATCACTTAAATTTTTATCTTATTAAGAGAATTTTTCTGGAATTCTTTTTTATTCATCAAAATAAAATCACCTATTCGAAAATATTACAATACATCGCTAAAAGGTAAGTAAGTTATAGTGATAACAAAAGGCATATTTTTTGTTTAAATGCATAGAATTGAATAGAAATTTATTAGTTTCTCAGTTATAAACAAAAAAAGAAATTTATAACAGAGATAACACGTCAATGTGATACAGTGTAAATATCACACAATTTTTTTAAAGTACATACAAAAACAAACATTGATAGACAGCATATAACAACAGCGCTAATAATGCTTACGGTTTCACTAGAGCACAGAACTCTTCAATACTATATGGTTCCATATCGCATATATATTTATGAATGCTTTTTTTAATATAGTGAATGCTGAAATGGATTGAAGATGTTGAGGTAAAGCATTGTAAAGTTTCAGTGCAGAGTAATGTGGACATTTTTCGGGTAGAATTTAGCTTATGTGATGGGTAGAAGTATTTCTGACTTTTGCGAGTATTGTAACTATGGTTGAAGACTTTTTTTTCCAAACTCTTCTTTATGGCTAAAGATAAATAGTAGAGTGTTATAGATATAAATTTCCGGTAATGTTGATAAGCGGTTGACTTTAAATATACTTCTACATGACTCTCTAGGTTTCATTTTGAACATTGTTCTTATTATCCTCTTTTGTATGATAAAAATTCTATTGGCTGCGGAACTATTACCCCAAATTGTTATTTGATAAGACATAATAGAATACGCAAGCTCATAGTAGGCAGCCTGCACAGCTTGCAAGGGCAGGTGACAAGTGAGTACTCGTAGTGCATAGCATGCTTGATTGAGTTTTGAAGCCATACTCTCAATGTGCTTATCAAACTTAAGACAGATATCGTAGGTGACACCCAGGAGGTTTGTATCGCTTTTGATACATAGAAGTTTATTAATTAAGGGTAGTTCTTTGGTGTCATGGCTTGACTGAAATAGGACACAACACGTTTTTGTATGTTGAATGCTAATTTATTCATCTGCAGCCAGTTTTGAATATGGTTTATTTGGGTCTCTATCAAGATTCGGATATCAGACGTTCCTTTATATGGTATCAGAATAGTTATATCATCTGCATAGATGAAACTTAGATTTTGCGTCTTTTCGTAGTGGTGGATTTATCATTAATATAGATAATAAATAATGTTGGGCCCAGTGTACTGCCTTGAGGAACACCAGTACTATAAGTCCGAGGACTAGATGTTATTCGTTTCCCGGTTTTGTTCAAAATTACTATGGGTATATACGAAAAAGAAAATTAAGAGAAGCAGGCCATGGAATGCAACAAAACAAATACCTAATCAAAACATAAATAGCCCTCCAATTGTCAACGGTTTCGCGTTACTTTGAGCAATTTTTGTGCTTACCAAATGCATTTTACGAACGATGGAGCTGTTGATATGCTTGCAGTTTATTTTGAATGTCTTCAGAATGAGACATTTCTGTCGGAATGTCGAAAAAAGCTCTCTAGTGGCCATTTCAGAACCTTGAAAATATTATCCAGGTTTTTTCTTGGCCGTTTTAGTAATGACTGTTTTTGCCACAAGCCTCTAAGATGGATAGGTTCCCAGGTGCAGTACCTCGCATTCTTAGTTGGCCAAGCCGCAAGCAGTGATAACCTCCAGGTCTCTCATCAGAGAGGAAGTCGCGGCTATAGTCTTTTTTTCTCCAACTCACCGGAATAGATCGGCTTGTCACTCTGTACTCCCTTCTGTAGAGTGCTATCATCAGCAAAGAAGCGACTTGGATTGATCGTACAGCAAAGGCGACCGTTGATATTTAACAGGAACAATGTCGGAGCCAAGACCGATCCCTGGGGAAGACCGCGTTGGCGTTGTGGGATGAAGAGGAGGACCCGTCAAGTACGACGGATATATTGCGGCCAGAGAAAGTCAACCACCCATCTCTCCAACCACATACGGCCAACCATAGACAACGTTTCCGTGCTTTTTGGCAACTCAAACCTATATTATTATTCAATGGCGAGTAGATAGCACAATCGATGCCATCTAGCGGACACAGTGAAATACAGTTTCAACAGACAGCTTGCTGTTTCACCCTCGCAGTGGTCGATTCAGGTAATGGATGGTATTTTGCGGTCTTATTTCTATATAACTTATATCACGAATAGAATAGAGAGTTGCTCATCTGTCGTTCGCTGTCCTACCTGAGACCAAGCCTAGATCATGCAGGAAAAAAGCACGAAACAGGTTTCTATGGTTGGCCGTCTGTGGTCGGATGGACGAAAGCTAACCTTAGTTGTGCTTGAAACAAAATCCCTCATCGCAAGATGATCGTTTCCATAAAATGCGTGTGACTGTAACCAACTGAGCTATCTTTTTCACTGTCATTTTATTACTGATGAAAACCATAAGGAGGCAAGTAAATTAACTATGAATTAGTGGTAATGTCGGAATACTCGTAGGCTCCCAAGGGTTAAATATACATTAGTCAGTTCTCTTTGGTTGCCGAAGAGAAAGTGTACAACCAACGACGATCAAACAGCATATTTATCGATCATATAATCTAAAAACCATTTCCAAAAAAATTAAAACTATGTTATCATGTAACATTGTGAGCTCTTGTAGACAGTTTCTTGTTTGTACTGTGCATAAATTCATGTACTATACACGTACGCCTATAGACGAACCACCACTGATTCATGTGCTGTTGTGATGAACGCACATGCCGTTCGATAAGATTCAGATAACGCTTTATTTCCGCTGTTTCCACAGTATCAATTTAAACGTCTTGCTACTACGAACACCTACTAACCTGTATAAACTCCTTGTAAGTTACACATTTTTCTAGTTTTGTGTCGTACCACTTTGAAAACCTCGTGATTTTTTTTAAAAACAGGAAAGGTGTCTATAGGGTTCGAACAGTAATGCACATGATACCGGACTTTAGAGTTTGAAAACTTTTGCTATGATAATTCCATATATCGTCAAACAAACAACTACAGTAAATCATGATTTCGACTCCATCAAGCCCTTATCTTTTACATGCCTAAATTTCTTATCTGTATTTCAAAAACTAATTTAATTATGGACGCAAGTTTACACAGCAATCGATGGGGATATTAGAGCCTTAAATTAAGAGTAAAGTGAAGCTTTAGAAATAACTACGTTATTTACATTCTATATAGGATGTTTACAAAGTTGGGACTTTCACCTACTCATCGTATAGTTCTTGTAAAAATAAGTCAATTTTCCTTAAAAAACATACACCAAATACTCAAAAAACCGAGATATTATTAAGTTCGAAAGAAGAGCCCTGTCATCCAGATAATGAATGCATGAGAAGACATTTGACCCGCCGTCGCCGTAAGGGTAAATCGAGCTTTTGTTTAGAAGTAGGATTTGAAAAACCCAAAATTGCATACACTTGT